GCAGCCGACGGACAAGCGAAAACCAACAAAAACAAACAAAACCAGTGAGTTGGGGCCAGACGAGGGCCGAGCTACCCGAACGGGCGCGGGCGGGCTGGGGGCGACCAGCGCAGCGACGGACAGCGAAACCAAGCAACAACAAACAAAACCAATGCATTTGGCCAGCGAGGGGCCGAGCGACCCGCGTGGGCGGCGGGCGCGCTGGGGCGACCAGTGCAGCCGGAGGACAAGCGAAAACAAAAACGGAAAACGAAGAAAGCCAAGGAAAAAGGGCAGCCGATGCGGGCGAGCGACCGAAAGCGCCGCAGGGCGACCAGGCAGCCGACGGACAAGCCCCCCCGAAAACAAACACAAAAACAAAAACAAACCATTGAATTGGGCAGCCGAGGGCCGAGCGTCGAGCGGCGGCGGGGCGGGCCTGGGCGGGTCAGCGCAGACGCGGACAAGCGCAAAACCAAACAACAACAAACAAAACCAGCATTTTGGCCAGCCGAGGGGCCGAGCGACCGCGGGGCGGCGGGCGAGCTTGAGGCGACCAGTGCAGCCGACGGACAAGCGAAAACATACAGAAACAAAGAAAGCCAGGGAATGGGGCCAGCCGTGGGGCCGAGCGCCCGAGAGGCGGCGGGTGTGCGCAGGGCGACCAGTGCAGCCGACGGACAAGCGAAATCAAACACAAACAAACAAAACCAGTGAATTGGGCCAGCCGAGGGGCCGAGCGACCGAACGGCGGCGGTCGGGCCTGGGGCGACCAGCGCAGCCGACGGACAAGCGAAAACAAACAACAACAAACGCAACCAATGCATTTGGCCAGCCGAGGGGCCGAGCGACCGCGGGGCGGCGGGCGGGCCCGAGGCGACCAGTGCAGCCGACGGACAAGCGAAAACAAACAGAAACAAAGAAAGCCAGGGAATGGGGCCAGCCGGGGGGCCGAGCGCCCGAAAGGCGGCGGGTGTGCGCAGGGCGACCAGTGCAGCCGACGGACAAGCGAAATCAAACAAAAACAAGCAAAACCAGTGAATTGGGCCAGCCGAGGGGCCGAGCGACCGAACGGCGGCGGGCGGGCCTGGGGCGACCAGCGCAGCCGACGGACAAGCGAAAACAAGCCGAAACAAACAAGACCAATGAATGGGGCCAGCCGAGGGGCCGAGCGACCGCGGGGCGGCGGGCGGGCCTGGGGCGACCAGTGCAGCCGACGGACAAGCGAAAACAAACAAAAAACAAACAAAACCAATGAATTGGGCCAGCCGATGGGCCGAGCGCCCGCGGGGCGGCGGGCGAACCTGGGGCGACCAGTGCAGCCGACGGACAAGCGAAAACAAGCAAAAACACACAAAACCAGTGAATTTGGCCAGCCGAGGGGCCGAGCGCCCGCGGGGCGGCGGGCGAGCCTGGGGCGACCAGCGCAGCCGACGGACAAGCGAAAACAATCAAAAACAAACGAAACAGTGGAAGGGGCCAGCCGAGGGGCCGAGCGACCGCGGGGTGGCGGGCGAGGCTGGGGCGACCAACGCAGCTGACGGACAAGCGAACACGAACAACAACAAACAACATCAGGGAATTGGGCCAGCCGAGGGGCCGAGCGACCGAACAGCGGCGGGCGAGCCTGGGGCGACCAGCGCAGCCGACGGACAAGCGAAAACAAACAAACACAAGCAAAACCAATGTATTTGGCCAGCCGAGGGGCCGAGCGACCGCGGAGCGGCGGGCGAGCCTGAGGCGACCAGTGCAGCCGACGGACAAGCGAAAACATACAGAAACAAAGAAAGCCAGGGAGCGGGGCCAGCCGAGGGGCCGAGTGACCCAAAGGCGGCGGGCGAGCCTGGGGCGTCCAGTGCAGCCGACGGACAAGCGAAAACAAACAAGAACGAACAACATCAGGGAATTGGGCCAGCTGAGGGGCCGAGCGACCGAACGGCGGCGGGCGGGCCTGAGACGACCAGTGCAGCCGACGGACAAGCGAAAACAAACAGAAACAAAGAACGCCAAGGAATGGGGCCAGCCGAGGGGCCGAGCGACCGCGGGGCGGCGGGCGGGCCCGGGGCGACCAGTGCAGCCGACGGACAAGCGAAAACAAACAAAAACAAACAAAACCAAGGAATGGGGCCAGCCGAGGGGCCGAGCGACCGCGGGGCGGCGGGCGTGCGCAGGGCGACCAGTGCAGCCGACGGACAAGCGAAAACAAACAGAATCAAACAAAACCAGTGAATTGGGCCAGCCGAGGGGCCGAGCGACCGAACGGCTGCGGGCGGGCCTGGGGCGGCCAGTGCAGCCGACGGACAAGCGAAAACAAACAAAAACAAACAAAACCAATGCATTTGGCCAGCCGAGGGGCCGAGCGACCGAAAGGCTGCGGGCGGGCCTGGGGCGACCAGTGCAGCCGACGGACAAGCGAAAACAAACAGAAACAAACAAAACCAACGCATTTGGCCAGCCGAAGGGCCGAGCGACCGAAAGGCTGCCACTGCGATCGACGGACAAACGAAAACAAGCCAGAACAACCGAAACCAGCCAAGGAATGGGGCCATCCGAGGAGCCAAGCGACCTAGCGCTACTGCGCGCCGCTGAGACAGGGCCCGGAAATTTGCAATCTACTTCTTGTAGTTGTTGTTGCTGTTGTTTTTTTGGGCGGCCCCGAATGCAATCTACTTCTTCCGCCTTCCTACTTCATGTTTCTACCTACTTCTTCCGACCGGTGGGTACCGTGTCGCATGTGTGCATAGTTCCGTGCGCAGTTCACACACACGCATCACATGGTGACGATGCTGCCCTCTTCCAGGTGCAGCAGAGGCACCACATAACATGCAGATGCACAGGAAGCGAGCGAAGGCGTTTCTAGATAATGTGCAGGCTTGCTACTAATATGCGTAGGCCTATACGTGGTGTCTCTCCAACAGCAGCGTTCTTCTTTTAGCTTCAACGTTTCAGGCCCATGGTGCCGCCGATGGGGTCCTCGGCCCGAGATTGACACTGCTTCGGAGCCACGTTGACGCCGCCTGAATGTCTTCACAGCCGAGAACCTCGACGGCTCCCGAGGATTCCTGGTCCGCGACAAGGCCCCGCTGAAACCACTTTGAGACCGCTGCGAGCCGCATTGGGGCTCCTGTAGTCAGATCATCAGCAATTCCCCTGATTTCAGTCCCGCAGTGTCTTCTTAGAGTCATGGCCCGCTTCGAGGCCACACTGAGGCCCTCGAGTTAGGGCATCAACGTCTCCCAGGAGTGGGCACCACAGAACCATCCTTCGCCTGGTCAACCGCAGACACCATCCTCCGCCTGCGAGCAGTGAGAACGCGCAGCACCGAGCCTCGCTCCCTTGTCTAATCCGCCGAGTCCCGTGTTGCCCACAGAGCCATGTCGTCCCAGCCAGCGCCCCACCAGATATTCGCACCCTGAGGACCCGAGCACGACTCGCTGCGGTCGGACGACTATCTCGTTGCACCGTTCCAGCAGTTTCCGTTTGCATCGCACATTACCGTTTCTCGGGGGCGGGTTTGCGGACGCGTGTTGGTCTGAGCATGATGCGACAGACGCCGCGATGCGATGTGACGGCAGGCCGTTCGGGGGGAGGCATGAAGAAAGAAAATGAGGAAGGCGAGGGGGAGGGGGGAGGCGAAGCAAAGCGGAGTAGACGGATGGAAGAGGTGGAGGAAGAGGAGGAGTAGGCGGAGGCGAGGGGGGAGGACGAGGAAGATGGTGGAGGACGACGGGCAAGGAGGAGGCGGAGGGGTTCGTGGATACAGACAACGAAGTGGAAGGAGTTCCAAGACGTGAATCAGATGAAAAGGAGAGGGCAGGAGGAGGAGGAGGAGCGATAATAGCGGGAGCAGCAGCAGGACCGTGGAGAGAATGAGCGCGGGCAGAAACAGAAAACACAAGAGAAGGAGCAGGAACGAAAGCAGTTCGAAAAGGATGAGGTTGAGGAGGAACATGTGCAGGGGCACGAGCGCGAGAACGATCCCTTCTGTCATAGACGGGCTCGGTCCTTCCGCACAATTCCGTGAGGACGAGGTGTTCTGTCACAGAGGGGCCCAAAGGGGACCCTATCTTGTTCGAGCGTTTGGACTATTGTCTCCCATACCTCCCCTCCCAGCACCTTCGCCTCCCTAATCAGGACCTGGTGCCCTGGTGTGTCCAGGTCGTTGGGGTCCTCCGCAGGAGGAGAACGATGACGACGACGATGAGAAGGAGGTGAGCAGGAGAGGAGGAGCGACTCGCCCGCGACCCGTCTGCTAGTAGCTTGTGACCTGCATTGGCCGGGCATGCCGCCCAGTTGTCCCGTTTGCAGCGAGGCGTCGGCGTTGTGGCCTTCGTCCTTGTCCGCCCGCCCGCCCTTGCGAACCTCGGCAACCGAGCAAGCACGTGTGCCGATCGCCATCCAAATACTGAAAGTGAACCTGCATGCAGGTCCCACTCGCGCGCGCGCGCGCCTGGGTCACGACTGACGCATCAGGGGGAACGGGGACAGGGGTGCGAGCGAGGAGCCCAGACCTCCGACGTTGTCGTTTCCCGACGGCGGGCCCTGCAGAGCTCTCGACCCCGGCCGCGCTTGTGGCGAAGGTCGTGATTCGATATCCCGGGCTCGGAACAGTTCTCCAGAGTCGAAGGTCTCGGAACGGATGCGACCGTCGTTGTCCGTGTGTTTGATTTCTGTTCACGCGTCGTTGCGTAGCCGTGCATGGGAGCCTTCGTGTTACTGTATGCCTATCCTTTCTTGCGGAGTCCGTGCCACGTCCGCGTCGCTCCCGTGGCCCCGCGGCTGGTATGCTCTGATTGCGCTGGGCCCATGGCGGCGCGCGGCGCGCGTGGGGCATCAGCTGCGCTGGGCGTGGAACAGAAGTGGAGCGGAAGAGGAACGACCGCAAACGCCTGAGCGTGACGCGAAGGCTCCCGTGCACGGCTACACAATACGACGCCTGGAGGTGCGGGGAGGCGGGGGCGAGCGGGGAGCCGGCTGTTGCCAGGGGTGGCCCGGCGGGCGTCCGGCGGCGTGCCCGGGAGGCGGCGCAGCCCTAGCAGCAGCTACAGCTACAGCGGCAGCGAGTCGAGCCGGGCCACCCGCGCGCGCGCCCGCTCTTCGCCGGACACTCCCTGTTTGAGGGTCGCTCGGGGGTCAGCGTTAGCAAAGTTCCCAGGTTTGGGCTGACTCGGGTTGATGCGTCTCCGAGTCGAAAATCCATGGTCGAGGCTTTGGAGCCTCCTGGGACCTCGTAGCGGGTGGATCCGCCTCGAAACGTTTGCCAGAACGTCCCCCAGGACAGGCACGGGGAGGCGATTTTGACGTCGGTGGGGGGTATCGCATAATTGTTTTAGGGGAAAGCAGGCAACGCCAAGCAACGGCAGGCAATGCCAAACACCGCCAAGCAAAGCAAAGCAAAACAAGCGACGTCAAGCAACACCAAACAATACAATCAATGTACCCTTTCGCAACACCTGGTTCCTGCCCTTCTCACCAGCACTTCTCTTCACTACCATGCGTCGTATTGCTTGTGACTCGCTTGTTACCTGAAGCTGTTTGGTTCAGGTACGACAGAAAAAGGAACGCGCCCGCGCGCGGCCGCGCGTATCGGCCGCCGGCGGGCTGGCCTCTTCCCTTCAGAGTTGCATATGTTGCTTGCTCAACGGCATTATCATGTATTGCCCATGTCTTCTGCGAAGCCCATTGAGTATGGGACATCATCGGGACAGATTGCAGGGATATCGGATATTTAGGCAAAGTACGGGTTACCAGCCGGAGCGGCGGCACAACCGTTCGTTTCGCAGAGCATGGGATCTCAAGAAGGAAGACGCGGAATGACAAATCGTCAAAGGACTTCCGAACATGATAATATAATGAGCGCCTTAGATAGGCGAAATTCATCTAATATTTTCCCGATAAGACAGCATCAAAGAAAATGTTGGACTTGACAGAGGGAGACTCATCAGTTGATTCAGAAAGAAGTTCCGAGGGGTTCACCCCTGATAGAAGGGATAGCAAAGCCAGAGTTTCTACATGGAAGCCTCCTGAAGCAGTTGTGACGCATATTGGATCGCAGAAGTTGATAGACATAGATTTTGAGATGGAGAGATTTGTTCGATACCGACCTATTCGAGGCATCGGCCGTCGACCGCCCGAATGGCTGAGACGTTTTTCAGTTCGCATTGCATGGGCAGGGTGAAGGCGTGAGTGATATACAATCCGAAGAAGATAGTTCCCGTTCAATGGAAAAGACTTCGGAGTATGCTCGATTTCGAATTTCGCCCCGTGTCACTCCATGTAGAACCTCTCCTCGATTTATATGATAATCCTGTTCACGATCGAGCGATGATCGAGGCCAGTCCGAAAGCCATCCTCAATTCAGATGATGAAAGGCTAACCCAAGGTGGAGAATCACCGGCACAGCCGATTGGAGATCTCCCTGACATTGCTCGCAGAATAAGGAGTGCGCGAGAGGTCACAGGGGCAACTTCCCATCCATTGACGAAGAAATTCAGGAACGAAAATGGTGACCTGAATGTTTCGCCCTTGCCACCAGGTTTCTTGAGAGCCGAATTTTCTCCATCCAGGATAGGGAGAGATAGAGTGCCTGAACTTGATGAGTTGATTGATCAGGATGAACGGGATGGGAGGGTGGCGAATGTGGGCGTGGATAATTTTAAGACGGGCGCGAGAACGAGATAACAACATGCGCCTACACCGAAAAGCGCGGGGGCGATCCAGCATGGCCCCCAGGGCCGGGCGTCCCAGCTCCAGAGTGTTTAATGCTTTTGATTCGCCAAGAACGCCCACCAATAGGACCGCCCGCAGTTTTTCGGCGCGGGAGGTTTGCTGGAATGCCGGCCCAATGCGCCCTCCCTGCGCGGAGAATCGCTGCCCGGGGAAAGCGCATAAACCGGGGTGTTCATGTCGAAGACCCGTGTGTTCTCGATGCTCGAATGTTTGCCACGACATGTAATATTGCTTGGTTTTGTAGTGATTGCATCACAATGGATGAGCACAATTGCCATCGTCCTGCGATTGAGGAGTGGAATGAAAGGAACAGACAATATCGATAGCAATTGAGGGCTGCAAGTGCACGCGCGCGGCAAATTCTTGCTGAGGTGCAAGTCGATGGGCAAGCGGCCGACGAGGCCCGGCGCCAACTTGCGATTTCTGGGGCTGAAAAGCAGATGATTGCGCAAAGGATTGATAGTGAGAAGACCGTTGTTGCCGAATATGCGCACAAGATGATACAGCGTGCTGAGGCCAACGCGGCAGGGGCCGCGGATGAAGCAGATGGACGCCTTGCTTACGAAGAGAATGAGAGCTGGAGGATTCAGAACGTAGCAGAGAAACTGGCGATTGACTCCCAACGGAAAGCAGACAGGGAAAAGTTGCATCATCACTGCGAAGTCGGAAAGATGCAAACATAGCGCGAAGTTTCACCAATCCACCCGTGAGCCAACCACTATTCGGAGGAAGACACGTCGTCACAGCCCAAGGGAGCTGCCTTCGAGCGTTTCGGACAGGTGGGAGCTCCCAAAGGAGGAACACAAACGAATGAAAGCTGAATGGGCATTTGCATCGAGAGATGCGCAGTTGAGAGCGTTTGAATAAGCCGAAGAAGTATGGCACTTTTGGGTTAACTTTGAAAACGGATGTGCCGCCTATCGCGGCGCAGCCGCTGCCGGGCGTAGAGAGAAATTGCCTGTGCACCTCGGCGCACTTAGGTGCATGGTCGACACGGGCTGCGGATGCAATCTCATCGCAGAGAGGTTCGTTCGCGTTGCAGGCGCAATGGGTAGAATCGAACGGTTGAGTGATTCGATCACCGAACACCGCCGGCGGTTCCTCGCGGGCCCTCGGATCAGTTTGCGCCGCATGCCCGAATTTTAAGGATGGAAGTTCCGATGCCGTCGTCATGCCAGACACGCCGGCTGTCATTTCAGTAGGAGAGCGGTGCATGGATCACGGCTTTAGCTTATTTTGGCCAGCAGGCCGACGACCCTACTTACTTCTGCCCAACGGTCATAGAGTTGACCTGACCGCTGAGGGCAGGGTACCAGACTTGACCTTATCAGGCAGAGAGGCACTGGGTCAGCGGATGTGTGCGGTTGCCGCTGGACAGACTGTCATTGTTGGTCGGTGGTGTTGCGTGACGTTGGGCGCCAAGACATTTCTGGGTGACGTAGAATCGGCGGACGGTGCAAGAGAGCTCGCTAGAGCTTGCGTCGAAGTTGACAGACCGCATGACGCTATTAGTCCCGACGACAAGATACTGATGGCTGTTGCTGGAAGATCCATTGGGCTCGTTCAACTGGGGGCGCGCGCACTGCTCATGCAAGCGGGCCTTCCCCCGCCATTTTGGACGCATGCCGTTCGATACTTTTGTCTCTGTTATATCGCATGGGTTCCTGAGAACGTTGGGTCGCCCTGGAGGCGCAGATTCGGTCACGATTCTGCTGCCCCACTTCGCCGATTTGGTTCTCTCGTTCGACTCGCGCCTCCACCTGAATCTAGGCTTCGGATCGCCAAGGCGGGCGGGGCGATGATTTCGGGGATTCACTTCGGAAATGCGCATAAAGCGGGGGGAATGGTCGGACCAGAGAGCTATGCGACACCGGTCCGACAATGGGATGGTCTCAACATGGGGGCCGGACGGGCGCCAGCTGGCAAACGTCCCATCATCGAAAAGCCAGATCAAGTTTACAGTCATTTCTTGGACGGTATTGTATCCGACCAAGAGCTTAAATTTCCTACGCGGGAAGCGTGCGAGATTGCACAGACTACAGTCAAGAAAGCGACGATTCCCTCTAGCAGTGTTCCTGACGGCGCAGCCGGTCACGAACCTAAGCCGAAATCACAGGCAGCCGTGGATTCAGGCCCATCTAAACCACCGCCCCGAACACGAGGCGAGGTCTCATCACAATTTGATGAAGATGACTCCGATGACGTTGGTCCGGGGGGAACTGTTGTGGATGACGTGCCTGTGGTGCCAGGTGGGAGGGGTCCCCGGCGAGATTCTCAGCCTGATGATGACCCCCATGAGAGGTTGGGTCTTGCACATACGGAGTATAGATTGGATCGACAGTCTAATTTCTCAGCGGCACAGCCGCGGTCGAAAGTGCTTCGACCGGGGCAACTCCTGGATCGCACCACGCAGAATCTAGACGCTATGGAGTACCATGAGGACAAACGCATTGTTGCAGGACTCAACAAAGAAGCATTGACGGGAAACTTGCTCTTGAAAGGAAGACGGACAACTTGCAGTGTACGGGTCGTCTTGCATTGCGATCTTGACTACGTGCCCGTCACGCGTGTTTGGGTTGCTGACCCAGACCCACGCTGCGGGGCACAATGGCTCAAGAAGTTGCCCAGTTCCACTAACCCGGGGATGCGCCCCAGTCGGTGGTTCCACATGACACGGGCGGAGTGAGGAAAGGCGGTGGGGCAATTCCGAATAGAGAAAAAAAGGGGATCTGTTGGCACTGCCGATCCAGGACCGTGTCTTGCCCCTCTTCGAGACGCAGGAATCGACGCAGTCGATCTCCAGCTCGCGCAAGAACGACAGACAACTGGTGAATCTCCAGAGGGAAACGCGCACCCAGAAGGTAACGTTAATCCAGAGAGAAACGTTCAACCAGAGGGGAATGTTCATCCCGGCATCGAAATGAGACGAAGACAGCGAGGGGGGGCTGCTGTGCAAGAGGACATTGGCGTTGACTGGCACGCGGTCCTGCACCCTGCTGGGCCCCAGCAGAATCTTCCACCGACACAGGCTCCGCCAGTGATCGAGATGCCTCCGACGATGAAGACACACGGTGGAAACAGACGCGGTACGGGGGGGCCATTTTGAGGGGCGGAGTCCCACCTGACACAGTCAGGGAGGATATCATGTTATCACTGCTGCCATGGCCTGACGGAAATTGCCTGGCTCCGGGTCGGGCGGCCGCCGCTTCGCGACGTAGCGTTCCGCGAATGCCATTGCAGTCGCCCGAGACGCGTCTTCCATGGCATCGCGAGAAAGAAAGACTGGAAACGAGTTATCTATGTAACCTATTGACCTATGATATGCAATTCGTTGAGCAGGCATA